TTTTCAAGAGATTCATGGACAATCGACAAGCGTCAATGTCAATTTCTCATCAAGGAGCTTAGCTCAGAGTATCATCTTCGAATGCCTTCTTAATCATTCCAATGTTTTCCGAAGATGAATTTTTTTCCGCTGTGAATTGCATGGTCACATAATACACAAGCTTCTTCGACGTCATTTCACTGCGGACTGATTACCCACACTTGAGAGTGTCTGTTCCCAACTGAATTAGTAAGATCTACATTAATTGACGCATAGGCCGCACAACCGGTATTCCATATATTCAAAAAATTGGATACTATTCTGAAAGGGATCATAAACATGATAATAGGTAATGTTATATCTTTCAGGATGTAGACAATCAAGGTCCTCCACAAATTATGTTTATTATTTGTGAATTGCCATAATTTCTTCGGAAAGATAGTTGTGTGGTTTCCCGTTGCCTTCTCCACGATTTTGAATTCAGAGTTTTCTTTTTCATAGACTGGCTGCCACTCAAAGCTAAGGATTATGGTCACGATTGCTATTTAATCCATAGATTGGGGATGAGATTGATTCATATAATTCCTAAGGCTTTTAGTGCAAAATTGAATGCAGCATATTATGCCGATTCCTTTTTTCCCGCTGGTTTATTTGTTTGTTTGTTTAGCGCCATATCAAAACTGCTTATGGGTCATTTAATGCCGAAATTTACTTTTCTTGGGAGCATTAGTAATTTCTTTTACAAATATGTATTGCTGGCAATTTTTTACTATGAAAATATATTGCTGGTATTTTACTATAAAAATGTATTCATTGTGTTTTGACCCCAATTTGGGGAGGGTCAATTATTTGCCCATAATTGGGACCCCCCCCACCCAAACAGGTGCGACCTAAGAACAACAACAATTAGGAGGTGATTCCACGCCCATCAAAACCCTTAGATCAGACGCTTTGCTAATAGTTATACCCAGGATACCCATCGTCGGTGACGGTTACGCTACACGCACATCTTCGAGAGTTATTTATTTTTCTAATAACGCAACAAAAAGATGAAAGAAAATCATGAAAAGTTAATATGTATATGGGAAAACATAACGCATCAGTTAAACGAAGAGATCTGTTAAAATATATATTGTGTTTTTTGGACAGCAATCCCTCTTTATATTCAAGTTTCGTTATTTATATAATTTTTCATGTTTCTATAATACTATTTACAATATTCAGGCTATTGCCCTCATTTTTGTTGCCATATTTATCACGACGTTTCGGCCGTTGTACGCTACGGCCTTCTTTAGGTGGTTGGAATGTCGAACTGATCTCTTTATTTCGCTCGCTGGGGTAGACTGTTCTAGTTCCACGTGCCAAAAAAAAAAAAATTCAAAAAAATTACGGATAGAACTTTTGTGGGATTCGAACAGACGACACGAATCAAAAAATATTTATTCGACTGATTCGTTTTTTACTTATACGCTTCACCCACTCCACGCTTCCAGGATAATAGCTCCATCATCCTGATACTAATTCTGTGATTGGCGGTCATCTGCAACTGTTAAACACTTCCTGTTTTAACAAAGTTAAGAATTGACAAACTTGATTTGTTACAACTCGTAAAAAAGACACCAACGATATTTAAAAAAAAAAAAACGAATTTTATGGAGCTGTAAAATTACTTGGAATATCTTGTTCCATCAGAAAAATAAATATCGTGTAAAAATAGTTATGGTAAAAGCAAACGTCAGTGATTACGCACATGTTGTCAAAGTAAATTGCACGGAAACAGAATTTATTTGTGCGTCGTCAAATTTTCGTGATAATTGATATCTTTATTACACATTAGAACATTAAGCCTAATACATTAAGATTCTTGCGCTTAATTACGCTAAATGTGACATAAAAACTTATATACATTTTATCAGAGGCAGACAAGCAACAATAGGTTGAAGTCATTAACCTTCTACCACTGGATTTGTCCTGCAATGCACGTGATCCAAAACCGTTGGTTAAGCTAATCAAATTACCTTTGCCTCGAGTGAAATATTTCTTAATGTTTTGTTTAGATAATAATGTTTTAGTGATACAAGTCTTACTAATTAACCCATAGCTGTGGGAGAGAAGAGGTGGATCCATATTTTTCCGAAGGGTATTTGTGCGTAAGTAAATATAATGAACCGAGCGAGCATTGCAACTCGACTTTCCGATTAAAAGCTCCTCGACATTATCCATTACACCACCCGCACATCCAAGCTTACAGCACCTGGCATTCCCAAGCGGTTACCCATCTAGGTACTGACCAGGCTTGACGTTGCTTAACTTCGATGATCGTACTAAATTTCACCATTATTTCAGACGAGGCTTATGGCCGCATCATGTTGAAACATCGATTCCCGTACGTTCACCGAAGTTATGCTAGACACCCGAAGAAGACCGGAAGATACTGACGTTGTGATGAGCCGAGTTCGAATTCCAGTCATTACATTCACTTACGTGCTAATAACCCTTGTGAAATGTATGAATCCAAAGCTATGGGTAAATAACATGACAAACTGAGTCCTACAACCTTGGTTGGCAACCAGTCTAGGAGAAAGAAAACTCTGCATTCAAAACCACCTGCTTGCCTCTTTAACTTCTGATAGGAGGGACGGGTTAATCTGAACATCCACCGTGCTGATGGAGCCGACAAGCCATTGCATTGTTTTGAATCTCACCATGAACCACAATTGTGAGATGGAGAGGAGTAGTGACCACAGCAGAGCAAAATGCACTAACTTTGAATGATTACTCTTTCTCTGTCAAAAATAGCTACACTATTCATGCCTTTTTATTGTGGTAATACTAAATAAGATCTATTTTAATGCATTTCACTGAACTGATGCAAACGTGAAAGGTTCGTTTTTCTACTTTTTGCGTTTCAACTTCGATAAGTTTCCTAACTTATACTTTTGAAAGATATCAACCAAGATGGAGGAGAAACCATACATAATCATGAAGTTATAATTCCCATTCCTATATGCCGTGTCCTTTCAAAGCGTACATCATTGTGGCTTTCCATAACTGCCTATCCTTTATAGCTCGAATGAAAGTTTGTTCACTTACTATCCCTCCAAGTCCCTGTTCTGTCATTCATTCTACACAAGCTTGCCGGATAGATTACTCGCTGTTTCTTCCTGCCTTTCCAGTGAGTGTCACATTCTCCAAACATTCTTTCCTCATTATGCGTCCCAGAGATTTAAACTCTTTTTTCTGATTCTAAGTAACGTGTCCTTTTTGTTCCAATTTTCCTTAAGATGTACTCATTGATAAATGCCACGTTCCTAGTATTCTCAGTATCCTGCTGTAGAACCAAATGTCTGTTAACTGAAGTTTCTGAGAGGAAATTGTCCAACATTCATGACCATATGACATTATATATCAGTTCGGCACCTTTGTTTCTAACAAAATTTTCATGCTTTGTAATACATTTTTTTTGTCACATTTTCCTGTTAAAACACTTCGAGGATAGTTAAAATATCTGTACTCTCTCGATTCTGATGTTGCGAATTCGAATGTCATTAGCAATAGCATTTTCCTTTCTTTTGTTTTTCAGTCAACTGCTACTGTTTTTTGTTTTACAGCGCTGTCGTTATTCTGTACTGTTTCACTCTGGTAGAATCTAGCAGGTGGCGGATGAAAGGAAGCGAAAAAGAATGTGTGGCCTCATCAAGCATTTCTAGTATATTCTACTGACAGAGATTACGGGTACTTCACTGGCCGTAGTAGCGAAAGAGAAACTATACAAGTGTCAAATATTTTTTTTAACGTCGAAACATTTCCCGTCCAAACTCAATTAAATAAGGCCACATTTTTCTTTTTTTAATCAAATCACCCCAAGCAAGGCGATATTGCCACTAAGACGCAAGGGGATTACTGTGAGTGAAAGAAAATAAAAAAAAACTTTAGACAGATCCGGAAAACCCAAACCTAAAAAGAAACAAACCTCTAATCCCGTTGAAAAAAACAAGGAGGAGTGTGAACCTATCTACTCCTATTGAAGAGAAAAAATATATGAATAATTAGTAAATAAAGGCGGAGACTTTAGAGATATAGATTTGAAGTAGACATTAGAAGGAATCGGAATAGGATAAACCTCTATTTCTGTTCAAAAGCCCCGGACGGAATGTGAACCGGACGATAGGCAAACCTAGCTCTTCCTATTAAATTGAAAACAAAATATTCAAAATAGTTGATACAATGAAGAAATGTGAAACTGAATATTTTTATTTTAAAACAATCATTTCATCAGATGAGATTATTACGGCATTTAAATTTAGGCGTTTCATTTTATTCATATGAAAAAATATTTTATCATCTACAGCCCCACAGGGAGAGCAGAGGAGGTTTCCATCAGCTCAGTTTTTGCTGGAACAGGGGGCGAAACAGGAGACTAAATTTGTCCTCTTGATCTCAAACTATGACAGTGTTATTGAACTGAATTGTATCGTTTGACTAAAAAGCATTACTGCTATTAATTTTCATTTTGAAACCATAAAACAATTTAGTTTTCTTTTTTTTTTTTTTTTTTGAAACATTTACTTTTAAAACTTTTATACAACGTTTCATCCCAATTACAAAAGAAGACACACAAAAATATGTATTTGAAATCCATTATATTAGCTTCTAAAACTTCTATATAAGTTGTGGGGGGAAAGTATGTAGGTCCCATTTCAGAAAATAAAACAAGAGAGAAAAAAAGGAAATGTGTATTTAAAATCAAAACCAAAAAAATCGTTACATTAGGATTATTCTTCTATGTGCTGCGTCTCTATAGGACATAAGCGATCATGACTCTCCACAAAGCTCGTGTAGCTCTTAGCAATTTTTCTTCCTTTGCAAAGGCCCCTGCCCCCGTCAGATAAGTGGCTCGCTGTCTTCCTGTATGTCTCTTGCCCTAAATATACCCCCCGTGATGTTTTCCTCAATCCGTATCCAATGAATTCCAGCTTCCCAGTATAAGACTTCATTCTATTGCCTTTCTCTTTAAAGCTTCCGGCCACATCACATTGAAACATTAGTACCCGTTACGATCACTGAAGTTAAGTACGGCTGAGTCAGGTCAGGTACCTTGATGGGTGACCGATTGGAAATACCAACTGTTGTAAGCTTGCATGTACGGGTGGTGTAATGGATAGGGGCTCGGAACTGTTAATTGAAGAGCCGAGTTCCAATCCCAGTTGGGTTCATTATATTCTTTTATGCACAAATACCCTTGAGAAAGGTACGAATTCATTTTTCTACCTCAAATGTAGATTAATTAGTAAGACGAAATCATTATTATCTCCAAAAAAATCTTGCAATCTAAAAATATTTTCTGGCTTTAAATAATCTGCAAAAGGTTGGTAAGCCGTAGAAAACGATTCAATCAATCAATAATGCTTACACTCTCACTCTATGAAAATTTCAGTTTCCTTCTGTAGAACCACATTTCTGCTACTTGTTTTTTCCTCATCTTTAGGGAAATTGTCCGACATTCATTGCTATATAAGAGGATGGATGCCACATAGCGACCCAACATTCTTTTCTTTGTTTCTAATGAAATTCTTCTGATTCTCAGCACCCTGAAGTAGATTTTTTTTAGATATTCATTTTTGTGAAGATCAGTTAAAAAATATAGAATAAAAAATCTTTCAAACTTTAGCTCCCACAACTTTTAACATCCGGTTTAGCCCGTGGCATTTTATTTTGCAGCACCGCGCCTATTTAAATAATTACAAAGTATAATAAGTCCAGGTAATTTGAACGGCGAGAAAACCGAATATAATACGTATATTTCCGCTATCCCTTGTGAGCAGCAGAGTGCGAACAACAGAAAAGATGATTAAATCTAAGTATAGTTATTAGAGTATTTTTTTTCTTACGGTTAAATTACTTGATCTTTTGGATAACTCTGCTTTTTCCTCAAATTTGCAGAATGTGATCAATGAGGTTGACCATTTTGTTTTGTATGTGGAGGAGACCATTTTGTTGAGTATGTGGAGGAGACCATTTTCTGCATGCAGCACTGTTTTCTCAGAAAGTCATACTATAGTCGTTTAACTTGAGTATGCTATTGTCTGATATAGTAAAAGCCGGGTGAATAATCAATTAGTTCCACAGAAATAATTTTGTTTCGGATATGAGAATAAGAAGTTTTCTGTTATGGGCTTCGAGGGATCAGAACAAGAGATATGCATAGAATTTCTTGAATTTTGCTCGACGGTGAATGTCTTCTGTTGCTGAGCGGTGTAAAAGCACGACAGACTTAACAGTAGTTTTCCCTACAAAGAGGATATAGTTTCGAACTATGCTGGAAGGTACATTTTCTTTATTAAGACTCTCAGATACACAGGCCGGTGGACATAGATTTACGCTATCTTCTCAAACACTAAATATAACGTTTAAAGTGATAAGAAATACTGTCGGAATATAAATAAAATGCATTCATTCCTGAAAAAAATAGAAATATTTGTGTGGAAAAAGTGCAGATATTACAGCAGTCATATAAATATAGGCATATGTATGCTAAAAAAATTGACAACATTGGTTGGTTAATACCAACTTTATACTGAAAAGATTGATATGCATAATAAAATCTGACGTAGTGTAATAATTCTAAAGGTAATCAATTTATTACTTAATAACAATAGAAAACCGATCCTCCACTTTATATCCAGTAGAAACTTATATTAATATTTAACTCCAACATTTTCTCAATATCAGTTGGTTTATAATAATTTTATTAATCCATTGATTTGCATAATAAAAACTTGTCATAGTGTCGTTCTTAGTTCTATTCCTGTAACTTGATATCAGACTGAACAATGTTGAGACTATGGAAATAGATTCAAAACCACGACTGTATTGATAAAATATGAATATGAAATACGTGAAAAGAACTCATTTTTAATTCTGACAATATCAAAATATATTAGGCTTCACCATAGTATCTTGATGCTAATGTTGTAAACTTGTAAATGCGTTCAGAGTCAAATTTGAATTTTATCAATTCATGTTTCTTGCTTATTGTCTCCTTTCTTTTTTTAAATGTGTGTTCGCTTTACAAAAAAGGATTTCAACTTTGGTTCACAATCTCAAAATGTAACAAAATATTCTTACAAAACAAATACGAATTTAAATGTTCGCGCATCTAAATTCCTTACTCAACAGCATTTTTCTGCGAATCAGGCGGCATTAATTTCCCTTAAGCTGAATACAAAAGTTGTATCTGCATGACAAATAAGAATAAAAGACATGTGTAGCAAATGGATTTAAAAGAAATTCTGTAACTGATACAGAAAACTTAATACTGAATATTTTTTAAATTTATTCAATATCAAAATAAATTCCGATTAGTGAACAGAATATTATACAAGTATGGAATTTATGACAGACATCGACTGACTTTCAATAAATTATTCAAATTCTCATTCAATTGTTACCAACAACAACGTTATAAGTTATCCGTTCAATGTATTAGTTCTTTAACTAAAAACTCGGGTATCTGGCACTTAATTTAATAATGTCTAAAAGAGTTAAAATTAATAATCTTATAATAGGAATAGATAGGTTCGCCTGATTCACCATCCTCCCTGGTGTTTTGAATTAGCATTAGTATTAGAGAGGTTTATCTCTTTTTTACTGTTTAGGATTGGATTTACAGTTCCTTTTAATGACTTTTCATTCTCTTTCACTCCTAGCAGTCCCTTGTGTTTTAGTAGCATTATCTCCTTGCTTGGGGTGAATTGATTTAAAAAAAAAGGAAGAAAAAAGAACTACCTATTAACAGTAAGTATACTAAATGCATAATTATCAGTAAGGACAGACCAAGTGATTGATCTGTTTTTATGGCTTACCAACACTTTATGGGTTATTTAAAACAGAAAAAAATATTCTGGGTTGTAAGAATAAATCCTCTTTTTGCGATTGAATATTGTATTAACAATTATTTGACAATAACAATGATTTTTCCAGATATAAGTCCTAATATTTAACCCATAGCTAGAGGGAGTAGATAGATTCATACCTTTCCCAAGGGTATTTTGTGTAAATGAATGCAACGAACCCGGCTAGAACTCGAACTCGGCTCTTCGATTTCTCATTCCGAGTCGACTTCCATTACATCACTCGCACATCCATGGAACCGCCAAAGATGCAGTCTGCGTATTGGGAAATGTTAAAATCAAGCAAGCACAGAAATTTAACTGGTTAGTATAGTAACAAGACACAGAAATCTAAAGGCACATAGGAATAGACAAAAAATAGCTTCCAGCAACGATGCAAAGTATTAAGAGATAGGAAAATGTTGTTAGAAAGACAGAAAAGTGTGCTGATGTGCTATGTAATATCTAATTTGCTATATGGCAGTAAATGTTAGACATTCTCATAGATGAAGAAATAACTTGAAGTCACCGAGATAAGGATCTAACGACAAATGCTTACAGTACAACGGCGTGATTATGGGACCAATGAGGAAGTGTTAAGGAAAATAGGACTAGAACACGTATACTTACAATGGAAAGGATATAGTTTACATTTTTGTGACATTATGAAGAAGGAAGGCCAGGAGAATTTGATACTCACAGGATATGCTAAAGGCCAGAGAAACAGGAAGAATCAGTAATTTTGATTGTTTTGTTTTTTATTAATAGATTCGTTTTCTTAAGTTAGTAACCCTTTGCAGGTTATTTAAAAGCAGAATGTTTTTTAGATAAGAACTTTTTTTTAGATAATAATGATTTAGTGATACAAGTCTTACTAATTAACCCATAGCTGGTGGAAAAGAGGTGAATTTCTACCTTTCCCAAAGTTGTTTGCGCGTAAGGGAATATAACGAAGCCAAATGGAACTCGGCTTCCCGATTAACAGTTCCCTGACATCCATTACACCAGCCACACATCCAATCTTACAGCATTTGGTATTCTCAAGGGATCACCCATCTAGGTATTGATCTGGCTTGACGTTGCTTAACTTCAGTGATCGTAAGGGAACTGCTGTTTCAACGTGACTTGACTGTAAGCCACCAACTAGTTTGTGTAAATGTATGGCAAAACAGACAAAAGGGGGAGGTAACAAGTCAAAAGTTACTTAGAGCAATTAAAGACAGGAAGTTATGGAGAGCCGTGATCTCCTATGTCCTGAAGGGACATGGGGCATCTAACTAAATATTTCTATCCTATTAAAGCCGTAAATATTTGATTGGTTTGGATTACTTTTTTAACGGCATATCAACTCCTTATGAGTCATTTAATGCCGAAATGTAATTATCTTGTGAAGTTTAGTCCTTTTTTTACTATTAAAATCTATTTTTGGAATTTTTTTGCTATTAAATTTTATTGCTGGATTTTTTTTTTAACTATTAAAATCTACTGCTGGAAATTTTATTTCACTTTTTTACTATTATTACAAAAATGTATTTTTATACTTTCATAATGTCTGGCCCCAGTTTGGGGCTTCAATATTTGCTCAAGGGCTAGGATCCTAACAGGTGTTACCACCCCGGGTCAGGGTGAATCTAGGAACAACAGCAATTGAGAGGTGGTTCTCCGCTCCTCAAAACACCCTGATCAGAGGCCTTGTTGCCAGATGTAGTTTATCGTCAAACCAAGGACGACGTAAATATTTGAGAAAATGAATGTTGTATGTATATAAAATTAATAATAAATACTGAAAATTTTACTTTATAACGTTCAGTCTCCGTGATTCAAATTCACCACTGAATTAAGTGCATTGACATAGAAATCCTTTATTTGTTGAGTAAAGTAAATACTTTTTCATAACTAAATTGCGTACATTGAGGTACCTACGTTTGCTATTTGGCCGAGTCATTGACCTTCAAAACTCATCCGAAAGGCAAAAGTAGAAATTACAGTGCACCCTGCCTATAATGTTCTACTACTGCTACTAAATCTACAGTAAACAGAAACATAGCTTTGAGTTGTGTGACAGTGTCAACATATTTAATCAACCGACCACGTAGAACTGGTTACTGCTCTCGGAAAGGACTTCCAATCAGTGGTTAACTGGGGCAAGAAATGGCTTGTAAATTTTAACGCCTCCAAAACAAAACGACTTTTATTTAATCACCACAGAGGAACTTTTCTGCTTGCCACCAGCCTTGTTGATTCTAAACTCCAGGAAAGCAAAATGTTGTGCCTCTTTGGAAGTGGAGTGATCATATTGAAATAATTGCTAGTTCTACTGCTAAGAAAGTTGGTAACTGTGACGGTCCAGGAAATTCTTCTTGTCAGAATCATTTTTGTGAATTTATCAATCTATCTTTCATCCGGGCGTTCAATATTGCTGCCATATCTTGTCTGCCATATATCGAAAATTTTGAGAAAATTCAAAGAAGGATTTGTAATGTAATCGATCCTGACCTGACATCTCGACTTCAATTACTTTCTCACAGACGTGACATGGCTTCCTTCTGTCTTTTCTATAAATATTTTCATAGCAATTGATCTGATGAGCTTTCCTCTTTAGTGGTTCGACTGCATGAATTTAATCGTGCTACTAGATTGGCAATTAGGTCTCACCGTTTTACTGTTGAACTAGCAAGACGCAACCGTCAGTTCTATTCTAATAGTTTCTTTTGTTGCACTTCTTGCTTGTGGACTTTACGATTTCATGCTTCTCTTCCGCCTGTAATCTTCAAAAATTTAAATGAAACGCCAATCGCCATCTTTTGTCTCCCTGAAACCTGAAAATGTTTTCCTGCCTATTTCTCGTCATTAAAGTTTTCTCCTTCTCTTTCACTCCCTATAACCCCCCCCCCACTGCACCTTAGTGGCTTTATATGGCAGTAAATGTTATTGTCTTGCTTGGGGTGAAATGCTTAATATTAATGTATTTGTTAAACTTAGCCCAAATGAGTATTATTGATGCTCAGTCAGAATCAGTTTCACTCACAATAGCTTTGCTAGATTATCAAGCTTCGGCTGTGCTTATTTTCAGATTCCATCGCCCTTATTCAGCTTCTCTGGGCTCAATGCCAACTAGGGCCAACATAATTCTTGATAATCACTTTCAACAGGGGTGGGGGGTAGCAATAGTTGTTAAAATCTATTGTGTTTTTGTTTTCTAGACAAAGTATCACCTTATGCCTCACCATTTTTGACTGGGTTTTGAATTCAGTTATCTTTTCCCGACAAGGATTGTCAACTACGGCGTTGCTATTTAACACTTATCTGGGGGATAAGAGGAGAAGAGATAGATTCATACTTTTCCCAATTGTATTTATGCGAAAGAATAGAATTCGAAACCGGCTTTCCGATTTCTGGTTCCGAGACGCTAACCATTACATAACGTGTATACTTGAAGATTAGTATCATATTAAAAATTTAAATGTTATTTTATATTCTATACGGCAAACAGATTTTACAAATCCCTTTGACGAGATGAAACTGTAATCCAATAAATTTGGGTTATAAACAAAGCAATATCAAACCTTTCAGTTAAAATTTCCCTAAATAATCATCTGATAGACCCCTTTGCTGCCTTCCATCAGTCATGGCTGATGCTAACCCCCAGGAAAGTGAATCATTGCGCCTTCTCGGGCTCACGTTCTCTGTTGATATGAAGTGAAAAGACTATATTAAATTCATTGCTAGGTCAGCCGCTAAGAAAGTCGCTTCACTATGTCAAACGAGACAATTTTTTCTCCCCAGAATCTATCTTACATATCTATAAGTCTACCATTCATCCATGCTTAGAATATTGCCGCCCTTGCCACTGCTATTTACCTTGAGCTCATTCATAAAACCCAAAGAAGAATCTGCAATATTATTGGTCCTGATCTGGCGGCTCGGCTTCATTCACTTTGCCACCGCCGTAAACTTGCCTCTCTATGTCTTTCCTATAAGTACTTTTATGGTAATTATTTGAATGAGCTCTTCGATATGATGCCTAGATTTTTGAGTTTAAGCGCAGCACTAGAGTGGCGTCGAAATTTCATCAATTTACAGCTGAGCTGGCTAGATAAAACCGTAAATTCTATGCTCACAGTTTCTTCTCTGGCACTTCTCGCTTGTAGAAATCCTTTCTGGTTCCATGCTTTCCAGCCAACTTTAATCTACAAAAATTTAAATGCAATGTCAATCGCTATCTACTGTCCTCTTGATTATTCTTTTCTCTTTCTGCTCACCATTATTGTTTCTGTTCCTAATTCTTCCAAACCCTGAAACCGCTTGTGTTTTAGTGGCATTACAGCCTTGCTTGGGGTGATTACGATTAAAAATGATATTCCAAATTGAACATTGCACAAGATCAATAAATCCATAGTCTGACAGGTGAATTTTGATCTGAAGACTTCACTGTATAATGTTCGATGCTTGAAATCCTTGATTTACTTACAATTTATAATATAAGAAGCGAGGAATTCAAGTTAATGTATAAAAGCAAATATACAGGGAGATTGAAAAGTAACTGCCTATTTTATACATGATGGATTCTCCAGTCTAACTATAATTTTCACAAGACCAGAGATTCCATCATACATAAAATCGGGAGTTACTTTTCAACCACTGTAAAATATGAACATCCGAGAGTGGATCAATAATTTCGTATCTTGACGCCGTTAATTGTATTTTGATCTCGGCGATTAAGAAAAACCATGAAATTACATGAATTAATAGAGAAGGAGATTATGTTCAAAAATTAATATTTCTTATATAAATGTATTTTTCAGCATTAGATTACGGATTTATGTACGAACCTTCGTTAACCAGCGACTTAGGGTCATATCACGTTAAAACAGCGATTCTCGTACGATCACCGAAGTTAAGCAACGTCGACCTTGGTCAGTACCTAGATGAGTGAGCATTTACGAATAACAGATGCTGTAAACTTGGATGTGCGGATGGTGTAATGGATAACGGCATGGAATTGGAAATCGGAGAGCCGAGTTCCAATTCCAAGTCCGTTATATTCACTTACGTGCCGTAAATACCGTTGGAAAAGGTGTATGTATACACCTCTTCTCCCTCTGCTAAGGGTTAATTAGTAGGACTTGTATCACTAAATCAGTATTATCGCCAAAATATTATTACAATCTAAAAATATTTTCTGACTTTAAATAACCTACAAAAGGTTGATAAGCCGTAAAAAACAAATCAATCGTCGATTGAGATGTTATCAATGAGGTGGAGGCGTCAGGAATTATTGTTAATGAGTTGTTTGACTTCTGGACAGTTGCTGAATATGTCAAACAGAACTGTCCTAATTAGGTGGAATTCCCAAAGAATACAAATGGAACGTGGTAATTATACATGGCAATATTCCTACTGTTTAATTCTTACTTAAATTAGGGTTAAAAATGACTTTGGAAATAACAATTTTTCTGGCTTTAAATAACCTGAAAAAGGTTGATAAGACGTAAAAAACAAATCAATCAATCGTACATCAACAGTACATGAATTATATAGATATACTTTCTTATTTAACTGAATTAATTTATCCTTTATTTACATGTGTAGCAGAGGGATTAAGCATACAGTACTGCTCAAAATTGTTCGACTATTTTAATCTATTGCCAATTTCTAATAAACTTATTCGTGGATGTGTCGCATAGCGTTTTCTAAAGATTAAACTTTTTCATTTCCGTGCCTAAATATCATATTTTGTAGAAGGAATTCTGAATAGGAGGAAAAGAGGCGAGATGACCTCCTACCACCTCCAAAAAGAAAACTGATTGTACAAGCATTTTCGGCCACTTCATATAAACTAATCTAGATGTTAATCACTTATTAGTCTCGTAAGACTACAGAGTTATACTAGGGATTACCTTTTAATCACAGCGTACGTTTTGTCTTGATCGGCCTATTCAAGAATGGCAGTCTATCGTACAATCTGCGCAGACGAAGTCCGATGCTGATCTGTCTGTCAAACTTTGGGCTTTACTCATTTGACATTTCACCTGTGACTGTTGGGCAAATTTCCCTTTAAAATTTGAAGAAACCTTTCTGAACCGCTTGCCTCTGGCATGCGCTTTCAAATCCTGCTGCT